TCAATCGTAGAAACTGGGAGGAACCCTCAAACATACACTTCTCTACCTGGTTCTCTAACCAACAAGCTATGGACAAGTCTTACTGTGACTGGTGTTGCCCAATCCTTCTCGGATTGTTTCAGGCGCAAAACAGCTCAGGAAATCTAGAAGCAATGTAGGCAGGATATTACTCATTGATAAAGGAACAGATTAGTTTGTTACATTCTCTTGAAATTTGTAGAAGTATATCCAGATGGTATCTTTTCTTCTGAATCCAAGCAAGTCCGGATTACAAAACAGTTGAGAATTAAAACTACTCAACAGCTAAATGAGTACATGCAGAAAAATGGGCGAAATCCAAATCAAGTCTGCAGTTCAGTTAAATAGTTTTATACTTATAGTTTTATAGTTTTGTATTTTCTGGCTCTGAAAACAAACTGTGGTTGAAAATGAACTATTGTAAAATGTTATCAATGGGGAAAGCTAAGTGTAAGGTAAAGCCACTCTACTACTTTTGCAACTTCTTGGGAGTTTTGAATTATTTCCAAATAACAAGTTTTTTTTTAAAGGATACACCCACTAAACAATTACCCGCCACTCCTTTGCTACCCAGCAAGGCAGCTAATTGTGCAGAGAACGTAAAAGGCCAGAAATCAAATCACCATTAACCACTTTAGTCTCTTTCTCTCTCAATTCAATACTCTAAAACACTTGCCAAGCAGAAAAGATATTCATCTATTTCTATAAAAATGCTAAATTTTGATTCAGAAGGATTTCCCAGCAAAAATTGGGACCTTCATCTTCCTGGAAATGCAAGAATATTTGGGACCTACCACATTGCCAGAGGATAGAAGTCTTACTGAAAAGACTAAAATGGAAAATTCCGTGTCTATAAATTTTTTTTTTTTTTTTTGTAGTTTTGGGCAAAACAAGTGCTGTTCCGTTTTAGCATATAGGTCCTTGGGACATCTTCCTCTCTTTCCCTCTTTCACACACTTGTCTTCCTCTGTGCTCTTTTACTCAAAACACATGGCTTAGCCTCACATCATGGCTTTCTTATGGGAAGCCTGGATGGGACAAAAAAACACATTTCCAACATGACACATACCTCCTTCTGCAGACAGCAGGCACGGTTTGATCTTGTCTAATTTATGCGTATCGTCTCCATATTTGCCCTCAGCCATTCTTGGCACTGCAGTATTAGGGATTATTGAAGTGGATTTCATTGACAGACACAGGAGAAGGGAAGACAGATTCATGAGCTCCCCTCAATCCCCCATCTTCTAGGTCTTCATTTCCAAAGCAGCATTTAGAAAACCAAGTCCAGTTCATGCAAAGAGTTGGTTTCTTCTCCCCGGGACCTGAAGGGGTCTAGAGTACACAGTGTGCCCACAATGCTGTCCCCATCCACTTCTCCTCAAGTGAGACGGCCATTCCCTGATGGTTGCTTATGTCTTTGCCATGAGGGACTTCCCCTTTCTGATAAACTGCTTTCCATTTCATACACTGCACTTAACTTTTCATTTTTTAACAGATAATTTGTATAAACGCTATTGTGCAGAATTTCATCTTTCTCCATCCACCTTTATCTTTTACTTCACGACACTTACTTTTTCTGTCCTCTCTCGGACCTCTCTTCAGAGAGATCTGCTTTCAGCCCTCAGCATGGATTCCCAACGGCTCCCGCTACCCACAGTTCTATTTTGCTTCCTCTCAGCCTCCCCATGTCTTTCCTCTGCATGCCCCATTGCCTCCTTCCACGTAGCCCCCTTTCTAGCCCTCACCTGCCCCTATCCAGTCCTACGCACATTCCTGTGGCCTTCCCTTTCCCCACTTTCACACAACCCTCCTTGTTATACAGACTTTTACACCCACAGCTTTCAAAGCACATTTTCTCCTCAGGTGCCTCTTTCCACTCCAAACCTTTTCTGACCGCATGTTGGTCTGGGCAGCAGGACAAGCTTTGGAACTAGCTATTAGCACATCAACTGGCCAGAGAACACATTTATATCTGACCATCCACAACACGATCTGGACATAAATCACGTAGATCACGAAGAGGAGAACTCACTGCAAAGGTAATGAGGGCCCACGATATCTCATCTTTTTTTTTTTCGGTCTCCTTTTCCAAATAAGTCCTGGCTTCATTCTTCTAATTTAGATTCAAGCTGTTTTTATTTTATTTCACTTTTTCTTTTGAGACAGAGTCTATGTTGCCGTGGATAGAGCACCATGGCATCACCACTCACAGCAACCTCAAACTCTTGGGCTCAAGTGATTCTCTTGCCTTAGCCTCCCAAGTAGCTGGGACTACAGGCACCTGCCACAACGCCTGGCTATTTTTGTTGTTGTTGTTGCAGTTGCCATTGTTGTTTAGCTGGCCCAGGCCAGGTTTGAACCCTCCCGCCTCCGTGTATGCGGCCAGCGCCATGACCACTGTGCTACAGGCACCAAGCCTCAAGCTGTTTATAAATTCTACATACTAAGCCTTTTCCATGTACTCTGTGTATACCTTCAATTATCCTCCTAATCTCTGTAGGCTTGACTAAGCTAGAAGGAAAGCCTGTGCCTGTAATAAGACAGTGTCAGTGCCAGAAAATGAAGCTTTCCTCATCCCAGAAAGGGATACATATATGTGTTACATGATAATACATATTTGGCAGCCACCTCTAACAGATTACTTCTATGATTCAAAGCCAAGAAAATCCAGACATAATAAGTTCATTTTAAACATGATTTAAAAACCAAAACGGCGTCATAGAATACCCAGTGAATTGAGGCATAGGCATAAGAAGAAATAAATGGAATGATATTAGACAAAGGAAGGCAAATTGATACTATCAATACAGTTTTCTTGCTATATAAAAATCCATGACATGCTCAGGATGTGTCCCTACCAGAGGCATATGGACAAAGGAGAGTAAGTCTTGATTTCAAGTCCCTTTAATGCCTTTGTTTGTTTGCTTGTTTTTAAGTCCCTTTGATTCTAACCAAGTTAACACTTACATTGAAAGCAGAGTGTGGCAGTTCCCAAGGTATAAGAGAAAATGTCTGGCCCTGTACATATCAAATATGATAATGTTTGTTATCATAGCTATCATTATGGTGATTTCTTCTATGATCTCTTTTGCTGGCCACAACTTTCAGAGCAGGAGATGACCAAATTTCTCAACCCACATCAGTTATAGATCCAATTATCAGCTAGTACTGGACATATCAGAACCAGAAGGAAGTTCAAGGCCATCTAATCCACTCTCCTCATGTGATTGATAAGGAAACAAAACGCAGAGAGGCAAAGTGATTTACTCAACAGGACCCATTTGGGTTGAGGCAGAAAAATGATCAAAGCTTCCAAACCAATGCTCTTGTGACTCTCAAAAGCAATGATCTCTCCAAAATTGGTCCTAGGAGAGACTAAAGCCCAGAGTCATGGGACAACTGAGGAGAGAGAGCCTTTGCTAGGGTCAGAGAAGACCTGCAAGATGGATCTTTGGGACTTGGGATTTAGATTTATGCTTATGCTGTGGCCCAAACCCATGTTAAAGGCTGAACAGAGGGAACACATTCCTGAGAAACCATGCAGAAGGTGGCCTGGTGAGGGCAACAGACACAGACTCGATGAGTCAAACTGTCTCTTCTCATCTTGGAAAGCTTATTCTGTACTCTCTTTTCTTTTGTTTCTCCTCGATGGGAATTACGGTTCCCTTTCCAGCTTCCCACTGAATCTGAGGATTTGCAGAATGTGAAAGCCCAGAACCTGCTGGAAGGGGACTCCTCCTTGACACTGTTCATTTCCATGAATTCTGAAAGCAAAGCCTCCTGCTTTCTTCTCTGCCGGTGGCACCATCTCAGGGCCCAGAGCGTGTGCACCAGACAGCAGCAGTGGGTGCTCTTCCTGTGCTGTTCTGAAATCAAGGACTCTCGCAATTAGAAGGACAGTAAACATTGTCTCCTGCAATCATCCGCTTCATGTGTGAAAATCTCCATCTTTACTACACAGTTCCTCAGGCTATATCTGAACCTCTTCAGGGACATCTCTGGAGGCAGCCCATTTATCCTTGTATGTTTTCCATAATAAAAAGTGGAAATTAATCTCCCTGTAACTTTTCCTTCTTGGTCCTAAGTCAGCTTTTCAAGGATACTTGACACTGATCTATTATTCCCTATTACACATGGCCTTTAGGAACTTATGCCTGAGTAATTCAACTTCTAGACCAAAGGCCCACAAAGGCTTCATCCACTAAAACAGCCAGAATATTTGGACCAGATAAACCAAAAGGCTTTCTATCAGGATATCAAAAAGATATCTTGAGCAGAACAACACCAAATTATACTGATTTTAAAAATCAGGTTCTCACTAAAACACATATCAAACATGAAAATGTCTGACCAAGACAAAGAAGAGAGCCCTCTGCAGAAATCACCAGTGAGGATTGGATAGCACACCTGTTCCCTGTCCCTCTCCACACACCTTCATCTCTTGTGTCTGTTATCTAGTCAAGAATCCTTCCATGCATGAGGTACTTTTTCATATGACAGTTCCCCTTTAGACAGTCTTGCAGCACACGTTTTTTCCTATCCACATCCCTTGTTGTTTTATATATGAACTTGAACCTGACCCCTGCCCGCGAATGACCAAAACACTGGGTGTTTTCAAGACTGTGTCATCCACTTTGTCAGGAGAGGGAAATACAAAGAATGGGACATGTTCGGATGCCAAATTAGAGAACCATCTGTGATTAGCTACGTAAAACTGAGTCCTCAGATTCTGCACATCTATCAAGTGTTGTCCCTATGCCTAATGTCACGTTTCTGAAGACATTAGTATTCTCCAAGTTCTTCTTCCTGAAGATTTTTTTAAGGTGACATGGAAAAAATATACTAGAATCTGCACATGAATAAACACAAGCATATTTAACGTTTATAAATTATTTGAAGTTTCTAGCCTTTGGTATATCAAATTAGATTTCTTTTACTAGATTTTATCTGCCCTAGCCTTTTTTTTTTCTCTCTTTTTTGAGTTTTAATGTAAAAAAAAAAGGTATATATGACTTCGGTGTAGGGAGGGGAGGAGTGCAGTGGGAGGAGGTGAGGAAGAGAGAAAGAGAGAGCAAAGCAAACAAGCCTCTGTCTCTCAGGTTCATGAAATGTCCAGACGGAGTGGCTTAGGCGTGGGTGAGTGGTAGGTGTTGTGAGGAGGACCTGGGCCATCAGAACGTTGCCAGGCGTGGATGGCATCACTCGTCCCCTTGTTGAAGGAGCAGAAGGTGGATCTCTTGGAACGAGGGACGATGCTTCGTATCTCTCCTCCAGCAGCTGAGCATCAGCTTATACACAGAGTCAGGGCAAATGGCTGGCTGTGGAAGGTATGTCTTCGGAAATAAAATTTTTAAAAAGAGAGAGAGAGTCTATTAAGAAGAAGGGAAAAGAGTCTTTGCATCACAGTTTAATTTGCACCCGCCCCACTTCTTGAATTTGATAACTGAAAGGGGTGTGCTGTCTGCTCGTCCTGCTCCCAAGAGTTCTAAATCATGATTTTATTTCTGCAACCTTTAGGCTGGGAAGGCGCCTGGCATGACCCTTCATGCTTTCCAAGAATCAGTGGGTTGACACAGGGTGAAGCAGAATGTATGGATGCCAGGGAGAATCGTGGCCTTTCACATTATCTGCATAGTTAGTGACAAAAGACTATCACCCAAACATCCCATCTTTCAGTTCAGGCCTCGCCTGCTAAGTCAGGACTGTCCTTTGTCCCTCCTTCGGGAGCACATAAGTCCAGAGGCATTCACCCCTAACAGTTCTTACCTGCCTCCCTTGGTCTCGGAAGAACTCTCCTGTATTCTCAATAACCTGTTCATCTGACAGCTGGGAATAGGGCTGCTCCTGGCAAAAGGTGAAAGTCTCCCACAGAGTAACCCCAAAGGCCCACACATCACTTGCTGTAGTGAATTTGCCCTAGTGAGTAAGGAAAAGAGGGGAAAATCAGAATAAGCGTTTGCACAAGAGCAAGTTAGAGTTCATAATGTGGAATGATCCCCCTTCCCCTACCAAGGGCAAGGAATGTTGAAATTGCCAAGATAGGTATGCAGGATCTAGAAACAACAACACAAAGTTGTCAGGAAACAGAACATTCTCTCTGCTTCAGGACCTCAGCTTAGTTCTGCTTCTCTGGAGACGACATCCAAGGACTGCAAGAAATGCAGCCGTAAGCTCTCTGACTCTCCCACTGAGTGTCACCCTTTAGGGTCTTTAGGGGGAAAATGCCCCTGAGACAGGCAAAATTTGAATGAGAGGTCAATTGCTTTTATGCTACACATAGAGAAGTCTGGTTTAACTGTCTGGAGTAAGTTCCTGGGGAAGGCCAAGACCCTCAAGTGACAGTCAGTTCAGACCCTCAAGACCCCCAGTTCAGTAGACAGTCACAACCTGGAAAGACAGACTTTCACAAGTGACAGCAATGAGACTGGGGTGTAATTAGCATGCATGGGATACTTAACACATTTTCTACACAATAAAGACAACATTGGGAGGCCGGGCAAGGTGGCTCACACCTATAATCCTAGCACTCTGGGAGGCTGAAACAGGTGTTTTGCCTGAGCCTATGGTTTGAAGACCAGCCTGAGCAAGAGCTAGACTCCATCTCTAAAAATCACCAGGCGTTGTGGTGGGTGCCTGTTAGTCCCAGTGACTTGGGAGGCTGAGGCAAGAAAATCACTTAAGCCCAAGAGTGAGGTTGCTGTGAGCTATGACCCTATGGCACTTTACCCAGGGTGATAAAGTGAGACTCTGTCTTAATACAGCAAAGAATAATGAACTTAAAATAAAAAATATTGACAATTATTAAAATTTTAAAAATGGATACCAGCATAAATAATTAATGAGAAATATGTTTATGAAATTAATGTGGAAGAAAAATATTTTGTGGGGTAACATTTCATATGGTAAGCTTTTGAACAGCCTAAATTAGGGGCAATCAGTAGGTGAAAAGAGTAGAGAGAAAGAAAATGATAGTAAGTCCTTTATACTTTTCAATGTCCCTCTACATTTTCTGCAATGAGCATGTTACTTTTTCTAGTTGAAATAGACAAATCTTGAACAATAATAGTAACAAGTAGCATGCAAAGAAAATCGTCTTGAGTCAGGGAAAAAATCCTGGTCTACTGAGCTGGCCTCCTGCCATCTCAGATTTGCCTGGACATGGCGTGTTGCCTGCCCACAAGCCACATGGTAGGGAAGGGCTGAATGATGCCGGGGACTCACCAGCAAGATGCTCTCCCAAGACATCCAGCGGATCGGGAGCACCGCCCGGCCCTGGATCCGGTAATAGTCACCACTGTACAGGTTTCTGCTCATCCCAAAGTCGGCTATCTTGATGGTGTAGTTCTTACCCACTAAGCAGTTCCGTGTGGCCAGATCTCGATGGACAAAATTAAGAGAGGAAAGGTATTTCATGCCAGAAGCGATCTGGGTAGCCATAAACTTCAGATTGGTGTAACTGAGGAAACAGACAATTAGAGAGAAGGTAGCTTGTGGAAAGAAACAGGAAGCCATGAAAGGTTCACATCCTAAAGTTGTCACCACCAAGCCAGAGTTTAAACCCTTACACCCCTTCTCCCTTCTTAATGGATCCCTCTGTATCCCCGAAAAGGGCAGCTGCTCCAATATTTCCCGCTCACCTCCCCCACCAGCTCAAAACAAAGATGAACTCTAAAGCTCTCTGCTCCCCAATTTCAGATACTAGGTTACTCTCAGGATCACAGGGATAAAAGACCAGGCTCGTTTACCTGACAGTGGGCACATTACTGGAAGAAGAATTTGGAGGCTCATGGCGGGAAAGAAACTGGTTGAGATCTCCATTCTCCATGTACTCAGTGATCATGCAGAGAGGGTCCTCAGTGATACACACAGCTAAGAGACGGATGATGTTTGGGTCCTTGAGACGGGACATGATTTTTATCTCCTTAAGAAAATCATTCCTTTGGAGGACACAGACATAGATAAACCCAGAGATTGCCAGAATCAGAATCAAGATAGGCAAGAAGGCACAACAAAACCTATTTCTACCCTATACGCCAACTCTTGTTTCCCTTTGGGTAACCTTTGAGAGGACAGAAAAACTGACCCTGGAACTGTCTTATTCTCTCTTGGAATCTGCTGGACCCTTATTCAAATGTAATGTTTCTGAGAACAAGATCCTTCCCTTTACATCTCTGGTAGCTAACAAAATGCCTGCCACATAGAAAGTGATTAATAATTGCTGAATCAAATATAGGCTACTCTGCAAAATGAGACTTTTCACTGAAATTTATATCTTAAATGCACTAAGCTATTTACCTTTTTATAACACCATGGAGTCACTTTATTAATAAAGTAAAAATTTGTATAAAGTGAACAAGCACCATTCAATTTCTCTGATAATTATTTTTTCCTACTGGCTTTTCTAATTTAGTCTGTACCAGCAGTCCGTTGCAACATACCTTTAGTATAAGGTGACCAGACATCCTGCTTTTGGCAGGACAGTCCTGATTTTTAACAATTTGTCCCATGTCCCACGGCGTTTTAAAAAAGTCCCGATTTTTGGAAAGAATGCATGACAAGCTAGGGAACAGTGGGAGAATGGGAAGGGAATATACAGTTTTCAGCTGCTGAAAAGGTTAATGTAACTCCATTTGGGAATGAAGAGGTTAATGTAACTCCATTTGGGAATGAAGAGGTTAATGTAACTTCATTTGGAAATGAAAAGGCTAATGTAAACTCCCTACTCCCCTCCTGGGTATCAGAAGGAGACTGGCTCCCTCCCTTGCTTCTAGGCAAGGACAATTAGCTCAGGAGCCAAACTGTCTGGAACAAACAAGGAGCCCCCCACCCCTCTAGAGTAAGGTGACCAGACGTCCTGCTTTTGGCGGGACAGTCCTGATTTTTAACAATTTGTCCTGCGTCCTGCAGCATTTTAAAGAAGCCCCAATTTTTGGAAAGAATGCACAACAAGCTAGGGAATGGTGGGAGAAAGGGAGGGAATGTACGGTTTTCGGCTGCCATGTGGCTATTTCGCCAGGATATGCGTTTTATATTATTTTTGTTAATTTTATAATGTAAAATGTTAATAATAACAAATAATTATTGAGAACTGATTATGGAGAACTGCTTATCAAAGTTTGCATTGGTGTCAGGCCCTGCCCTCCCCCCACCCAATGGTGTCCCACTTTACCAATGTTAAAATCTGGTCACCTTACTTTAGCAGCTTGTTCATAATCAAGCTGTTTTAAGGCAATGATGGCAAAGTGGGGTCATTTCAAAAGAAGTACTCAGCTGGCCAAGACTAATAATAAGTGCTTGAGTATATGGTGACAACCACCTTGAATTACAAAGTATGACATTTGGTAGTCTGTTTTTTTTCTTTTTTTTGAGATAGAATCTCTTTGTCACCCTCAGTAGAGTGCTGTGATGTCACAGCTCACAGCAACCTAAAACTCTTGGGCTTAAGCAATTCTATTGCCTCAGCCTCCCAAATAGTTGGGACTACAGGTTCCCACCACAACACCTGGCTATTTGTTGTTGTTGTTGGCATTATTGTTTAGCAGGCCCAAGCCAGGTTCAAACCCATCAGCCCTAGTATATGTGGCTGGCGCCCTAACCACTGAGCTATGGACACTGAGCTGATACTTGGTAGTCTTAAAACTACTGGCCCACACTCCCTGCACTAGAAGTGAAACTATGTCAGTTGGAAGCCCTTGGAATCAATGTAATCCTGGTGCAACACCTCCCCTCTTTCATCCTTTCTTCAATGCAAACTAGGGGTTTCTAAGGGTTGGGAGGGTCCAGAGCCAAGGCCATCCATCACTGCTAAATGGGAATGGGCATAGATGGAGGCACAGAAAACAATGAAGAAAGGCTCTGTCCTACCCTGTGGTTAGTCTTTCTCCTGGCCACCCTCTCTAATAACGTGCTAAGATTAATCTCCATCTCTCCAGGGGGCCCACAGAATGCCACTTTTCATTTATGCCAATATCATTAAGATCGAAATTCTGTTAAAATTCCAAAACCTCCATGATTCTGTTACCTCCCTTTTCTCTCTTCTTCCACATCCAAATGTCAGTTGCAAGGCTTTTAATGAAATCTACCACCATGCATGGAATTTATAAAAACCTTCATAATAGAAATAATAAACTTTCTCTCCCTACGACTATCAGTGAGACAAATCAAGACAACCAAATGGGAAACAACAACAAATGGGAAATGCATTTGTTGTCCAGATGTGCAGATTTCTCTGGGACACATACAACCAGCTTTCAACCAGCATGCCCCTCCGGGTGAGGATGAACTCACCAGCACTGTAATGGAAAGGCTGTCAGACAGAGGAGAATGGCTACAAGCCGCAATCTATGTGATAAAGGATCCAAGGGATTATTAGCCAGTTTGGAAAACTGCTAAAGGACTGTGGATCCTTTGGCTTTGAGGTCCATGGATATTTTTCCAAGTAGAGGTAGCTTCTCACTTGGGGATTGCTGGACATAGGAGAAAAGGAGCATAAAAGAGAAAAAAAAGTGATGAGAAAGTAAATAGAGATGTGAAGAAAAGGAGAATGGAAGAGGCTTAGCAGGAAAGATGTGTGTGACTGTGAAAATGTTGCCACGAGGAGGTCATGGCATTCAGGAGTATGTTTATGCACAAAGATTAAAGGACGGACATCTACGTGTATACATACAGTGCTGTGCAAAGGGGTCCAGGAAATATGTTGCAAATACAATGAAAAGTATGCATTTCTGCTTGAGAGAGGGAGAAAAGATGAGGACTGCTGGCTCCATCAGAACCAAAAAGCACAACAGCAGAAATGGGAGGCCACTCACAGACCTTCCCATCGCAAAAGAAAAAGATTGCTCAGAAGTATCCGGGAGCATTCTTGGTCCTAAAAATGAAATACAGCAAGGGAATTTCAAAATGCAGATCACAGACCTGGCATTCTTGTTGGCATCTGCTCGGAGCATTTTCACGGCCACCAGGACAGGCTGGTTGGCACTGACATCCAGGGCAAAGTCTTTGTCTTTGAATTTTTCCATCCCCTCCACCTCACAGAGATGAACCTAGACAAAAGTCAGCTAGTCTCAGCATCATCATTTCTCCTGAAGAGGTCTCAGTACTCTTGCTGGGCATTTCCTGGAGATAAACTAACTCTTACAACTGAAGCAAAATAACCAGAAGCCCGATGAGATGATATGGATGACATATCTTTGCTTCAAATAATTGAGAAAATTGAAAACAATGATAAAGCCCCCAGTTAATTCAACACGTGGCTGCCTTATAAAATAAATGTACGTCGATTAGGACACTGAACGAGTGAATGAATAACATCGTATTTTATCACAGCATTGCCTGCTCTAAAATGTTATTCAGTATAAATGCTTAAACTTTGATGTGTTGATTAGTAGATCATGCAAAACATAAGATGATTTCCCAAGGTAATACTTTAGTTTGGGGGTTTAGCATTATAAGTAACTCCTGTGTTGATAACAATATAATAAATGTGAGTTTTCAACCCAGGGGGCAGCATGAGTATATGCCAGGGACCCCACCACCTCCTCTAACAACAGACCTGCCCAAAGAGGGAACATGGGACCCACACCGAAAACCAGTAACATGTCCTTAGGAAACCAAGTATTATATTTGAAGTTTAGAGAGCAGAGTTGAAGAGTTCCTATTACAACTTAAAACACTGCTTGGAGTTCTCAGAAGGCTCATGGGACTGATGCGAGAGTGCAAAGTTTAATATTTCATGCATCACCCTGAGGGCAACTGAAAAGAGTACTCCTCCTTGACTTAGCGGGTGATTCATTCCCTAGCAGCTGATTCTGGGACCAAAGGCAGGGGCGAGGTTGTTTTTGACCATTTTACATATAATTCCCATTAAAAGGAAAAAACAAAGTGGCCATCAAGCAGCAGGGCGTTCCTGGACGGTTCATGAAAGATGATCACATCTGTGGGGCCCACCCTCTGTATTGTTGACATTTTTTAAATTATTGAATGTTTTTCAGGCTATCTGAAGTTTAGTGATTTGTCTGCGTCAAAAATTCCTGTATAGAAACCAGAAGTCTCAGAAACTCCACGGCTATTTGACAAAGGTGAGGCTAGACCAATACTAGTCTCCCAGAGGGTAACACAAGGCGAGACTCGTGGAAGAGACGTTCAGTTATGAATCCACTTCTGAAAGGGACGCTTGTTCTACTGTCCATTTTTTTTGTTTGTTTTTGCAGTTTTGGGCCAGGGCTGGGTTTGAACCAGCCACCTCCGGCATATAGGGCCAGCACCCTACTCTTCTTGAGCCACAGGCACCGCCCTCTATTGTCCATTTTTATCCAACTTCTTCCTTTGAACTACCAAAGCTCTACTCAAAAGGTCAACTTACCTCCCCAAACTGGCCTTCTCCCAGTTTCTCCTTGAAAGTTAAGAGTTTCCTGGGGAACTCTTCCACAGCCACATCTTTCCCTGAGAGCAAGTCCATGGTGACAGCAGGCACTGAGTAGGTGTTGCCACCTGTCACTCCCTGGAGATTCACTATGTCAGCCTCGGCATAGTGGGGCACGCCCTCAGGGCCACTGGGCTGGACTGGTTTCACCATGCCACTGCAGCCTGGGAAGACAAGGAAAACCAGTCTCGTACCAGGGGTTATCTTCGGAGACCTCATCAAGGATAAAAACCTGAGACAGGGTTAGAACACGTCCCTATGACAGCCTAACCTACTTCATTTCATTCTGACTTAGACAATGGTTTTGCCACCTCTGGAGACTTTCTCGTGACCTTCAGACCATCGTATCTCTCCTTCTTCTCCTCAGAACACGTGATCATTCACAACTTCCTTACCTAATCTGTGGCATCCTATGGCGAAGCTATAGGAAAACTCAGGGTGTATCAGGGTGGGAGCATTAAAGGTTTAAGGGTTAGTAACATACTTCCTTAATTTTAAGTCACTGCCATTGATTTAAGGACCTATCTTAGGGATTTAAGGCTGTCAGATTAAAAGTATATTATCTAATTGAAAACATGTACTAACTGAAATGTTAAAATATGAGGTGGGGGATGTTTTAGCCTTCAGAAAAATAAATTACTTCAGTTCAGTCTGGGGAATAAATTGGTTGGCTCAGCCCCTATGGCTCAAGCGGCTAAGGCGCCACCCATGTACACCCAAGGTGATGGGTTCAAATCCAGCCTGGGCCTGCCAAACAACAATGATGGCTGCAACCAAAAAATAGCCAGGCATTGTGGTGGGTGCCTGTAATCCCAGCTACTCAGGAGGCTGAGGCAGGAGACTTGCTTGAGCCCAGGAGTTGGAGGTTGCTGTGAGCTGTGATGCCATGGCACTCTACCCAAGGGGACAGCTTGAGGCTCCTGTCTCCAAAAAAAAGGAAATAAATTGGTTTATATTCTTCATTCTTGCTGTCGTTGTGAAATTACCTGAATTTAATGTGCTCTTTCAATGCTTTCTATTGGGTGGTAAAATATGTATTAGTTTCTTTTCCTCCTTCAAAAAAATACAAAATCCCTTCAGGCTCCTTCCTCAAAAATCCTGTGCTGTCCTAGTTAGTCCCGTCAGCCTCTGCATCCGGCTCAGGCCCTGCTCTTCTCCCCTGAACACAAATCCTTTTGACTTGGATCACTGTTAGGTAGATGGCCTCACAGAAAAGCTGCTCAGAGCTCCAGAGATGACCCCAGCTTCCCTTCTGATGTCACTTGCAACATTTTTAAAAAGACATTAGGACTTGAATTAATGGGTGCTATTTTAGCTGTTGTACTATTTTTATCTTAATGCTTTTATTAAGAAATAGCAAGACACACCTACTTTTATAATGAAATCTTATATTATCTTAACAAATATTTACCAAAAAGAAATTAATAAAAAATAAGATATTAAAAACTCAATTATCTTGATATCTATAGAACTGGGGATCTTAGAATTCATTAGCTTCATCCATTTATTTTTTTCTCCAGGTGAAATTCTAGTCCTGAATTTATCCCTCATGAAATTTGGATACCCTGTCTAAGCCTTCTCATCCTGCTTATAGTAAAATGAGGTTAGACTGGTTGGATTATTTAGCTACTGGTACTGTCTCCTAAGATTTTTTTGTTTGGTTGGTTTTGGGGTTTGTTGGGTTTTTTAATTTTGTTTTGTTTTTTGAGACAGAGTCTCACTCTGCAACCTGGGCAGAGTGCCATGGCATCACTGTAGCTCACAGCAACCTCAAACTCTTAGGCTCAAGTGATATTCCCGACTCAGCCTCCTGAGTAGCTGGGACTACAGGCCCCACCACAAAAACACCCAGCTAGTTTTTCTACTTTTAGTAGAGACAGGGTCTTGCTCTTGCTCAGACCGGGTTGAAACTCCTGAGCTCAAGCAATCTACCAGCCTCAGCCTCCGGCCTCCCAGAGTGCGAGGATCACAGGTGGGAGCCACCTCGCCCAACCTGGTGTTGTCACTTTAGTAACACCTCGTTATTACTTCCTTTTCTGGTCACACCAAACATCTTATGTTCACCAGCAAAGGAGAGGTGCCCAAAGGAGGCTAGGAACAGCCACAGACTCAGTCTAGAAAGAGAAGGTAGACTTCTCCGGATGTCGGCATAAACTAAAAACCAGTATGGTTAACAAGGAGCAGGGGTGGGATATCTACTCCACACAAGCTGCTCCAGGCTTCTCCCGCAACCTCCCGCCCACCAAATCATCTGCACCTGACTCCTCCTCTCCTGGAGCAAACTCTGGAAGTTTTCGTATGAGCCTAGATGGCTCCTGGTAGTCAGGGCGAAGGGGAAAGATGCGATCGTAAGTGGAGTTAGACTCCTGTTCACTTGGCGATGAGGAGCGGTTATTGTTGAACATGCTGGAATCACTTGGCAGGGAAAGGCTGACTGTCATTTCATCATCCAGCATCCTCCGGGAAGCCTGGAAGAAAAGGACGGGCAGAAGGGCACGTTACGTCCTCCCCTTCCTAAACCTGACTCTTCCACTCAAACAAAATAACCTTTTACTATGCTTAAAACCCAGAAACTCTGCAAGAGACAGGGATGCAGTCTGGTTCTACAAATGCCTATGATACAGGAACTTGGAACTTAGAATAATTTAGAATAATCCTTCATTTCTTTGAGGCAGAATTTGACCTCCTGATGTCTATGTTGCCAAAACTGTAAAGTAGTATTTGAATAAAAGCATTTTTTTTTTTTTGAGATAGAGTCTCAATTTCTTGCCCTCAGTAGACTACCATGGCATCACAGCTCACAGCAACCTCAAACTCTTGGGCTCAAGTGATCCTCTTGCCTCAGCCTCCCAAGTAGCTGGGACTAGAGGCTCTCACCACACCACCTGGCTAGTTTTAGAGATGGGGTCTCACTCTTGCTCAGGCTGGTCTCAAACTCCTGAGCTCAAGTGATCTACCTGCCTCGGCCTCCCAGAGTGCTGGGATTACAGGTGTGAGCCACTGTGCCCAGCCTTAGAAGCATTATTTACATGCTGATTTAAGAACCTATCAATAGACAGAAATCTTCTTGATCTTATGGAATGTTCTATTTAATAATGAGTTTTGCTGACTTACCCTTTCATTTTAATTAAAATGTTCATGAACTCAATGAATGTGCTGTAACACGAAGAATCAATAGTCCACCTGATCATCCTGGCGCTGTAAGTTAAGATAATTGCCCCTGACCCCTGATTTCCTAACCAAAAATAAAATGGCTACAGAGTGGGACAGGAAAGCCATAGGTGTCTGAGAATACCAGAGGGAATCACACCTACCACAGCAAGAAGAGCAACAAGACAGCTAATTGATGTTTTATCATATTTAATGTCATCTGCCTGCTCTATCAAAAGGAAAATGCCAGCACCTGAAGATACCACTTAGATTGAAATGTGTAAAACTGTTCTCCTTCACAAACCGCGTGGGTGTCCAGTGGAGAAACTAGGATGTCTGCTTTTCCACTAAACTCAAAGGTCGTTTGTTGCTCTGACATCCCCATCCTGAGCAGGTAGCCTCGCACATAGGAGGTATTCAGTGAATGTGGCTTTAATCTCTCAAGGAGAGAGTACTGGGGATATTCTCAAAAGTAGCCTACAAATAATGCTACAGCCTAAAAAACTAGGTATATGCTTAAAGATTTTCCATATAAAATTATGTCCCTAGGAAGAAATCCTGAGTGTCATTCCACAACACCTTGCAGTACCTTTCTTAGGACTAGAAAGAATTCCTTGACGGACCAAGTTAAATAATTAAGGGCAAACTTTTGGCTCTCCCTTTTTCCTAGAGGGTTCCCAATCCAACATGAAGCCCATGAAGATATTCCATCAGGCCTCAGAAGAAAGACCCAAAGAAGTATGGGAAATTCTGGCTCAAATACACAGAAAACGTTGACAGAGAAGAAAACAGGGACCCTCCTCCCTCACCTAAAATGTGGTGCTAATAGACTATTCCAGAAAGATACACATTCACTTTAAGTTATCTGATGAAGCTCAGTGCTTCACTACCACACAGGGCCTCCCCAGTGAGTTTCAGAAGTCTGCGAGACAGGTTTTGATATTTCCCCATTGATGCCCATGGGTGAGTCTGCAGATTCTACTCCTTAGTCTGGTACTATTTATGAGTGGAAAGCATTAACCTAGGTAAAGCATTTTCAGAGTAATTGTAAAGGTCCTTGCAGGAAGCAAGGTGATGCTACCTTCTGTGAAATATTCCTTCCTAACAACTTTATAGTAAGCATCTCAGGAACCTGAATGTGGAACAGGTTGTAAGAAACTGCAGCTACTTGTCTAGGTGACTGTCTCTCACTTCTCTAATCTAAATCTCCTTTCTCCTGTCCTAATACAAGGAATTCTGGAGATCTGAGCCCATTGTCAACAGTGCCCTTTCCCTCTTCTGGATTATGCTCTATCAGGCCTGGGGCTCCTCAGAGAGACCACCTATGGACACAGAGATCAATCAGACTATCTCTTCCTTCTTGTTCCCTGCCCTCGGTAGGCAATTCAAAGCTCCACAGCTCTCACAGTCCACATCTATTGGGTAGAACTCACTGACCAGGGAAGGTGCCCATGATCAAGGCAAAAACACTCACTTCAGAGACTCCAAGAGAATCAGGCATTCAACAGCAGTTCCCAGGGAATTACTGTTTGATCCAAGAAACCAAGAAAAGCCACAAATATTCCATCTTTGATGGAATATATATATATATATTTTTTTTTTTTGAAGAAAGAAACCAGCATAGGGCAACGCCTATGGCTCAAAGGAGTAGGGCGCTGCCCATATACTGGAGGTGGTGGGTTCAAACCCAGCCCCAGCCAAAAAAAAGAAAAAGAAAAAGAAACCAGCATATTTTGATATTAACAATTGGAAAGAACACAGAAGATTAAATATAAGTTTCATGACCTTGAGCATATCACATTTTCTCATCAGAAAGAAATAGCTCAATATAATCATGCCCATCTCAGTGAGGTGCAACTGGAATCATAAATGAGAAAAAAGTCTTTGTACAGTAGAAAGTGTTAGATAAACGTGATGAAACTTGTTCAGATCATTTGGCTTAGACAGAAAGAGCCTCAGGAAGGACTAAGAGGTATATGTAGTCATAACCTTCAAGTTAACAGAGATATCAATAGAATTGTGAGAAGACTGGCTTAGATGTGAATGAGGTTGGATGTTTCTCTACACACACACATATACACACACAAAACAAGCAAATAGAAAAAGAAGAGAAGGAACTTCAGTAACATCTTTCATAAATTTTAGCTAGACATTTAGGAGAATGATTGTCAATCTTAGATACACATAAGAATCACTGTTAAACTTTTTTAAATGCAGATGCCTACACTCCACCCAAAACCTAATGAATCAGAAAGTTCAAGGAAAATGCCTAATTTGAGATGCAGTGTATCAGGAAGAGTTTCCTAGGAAGGTTATAATGTTTCCATTCTAAAAATTAGAACATAGTCTTAGCTTATCCCTTTCTGGCTCCTTTCAAGAACAATCTCCTCCATTCCTCAGCTTTTTGGCAGGCCCTGTTAACTCCAGCCATTTATAAATACTCATAATTCGCCTTTCACTCTTGGGGCAATGGTGACTTAGCAAAGGAAAAAAACAGCTTCCTGGGTCATGCCCACGAAGCACCCCCTCACCTTCTCCAGCATTTTCTGCCAGAACTGCCTCCAGAGGATAATGACAATGATGGCCAGGAGGATGAAGATGATGGCCACCAAACAGCCAATCAGGATCCGAGTATTGCTGTCATCGACTTTAAGCATTGGGTCTGTGACCAAGAAGAGAAAGTGGAGAATGTAATCTCATGACACAAGAAAAACCATGAGGGACTGGACTGGAGGCAGACCTGGCCCCTGAGGATAAGGCCACAGGATGATCCCTTCATACTTCTGCTTATTCTTGCCCTTGCCACTTTCCTTTTCCTTTTTTTTTTTTTTCTTATGCTGTTTTTGTTGGCCAGGGCTGGGTTTGAACCTGCCACCTCCAGCATATGGGACTGGCACCCTACCCTTCTGAGCCACAGGCGCCACCCTGACCTTGCTACTTTTCTAGTATTTTGTTCCTCTATTCTACAATCCTCCTCCATGGAATAGTAGCCTCCTCTTCTGTGTGTCTCAGACTGGGTAATGAAGAGCATTTCCATTTTCTCCACATTTTTTCCCAGTATTGCCATGGGCTGGGTCTACAGTCTCCTAATCACACCTCATGTAAAACAGGTGAGAAACTAGGTTCACTCTGTGTATTGGTATGAGACATGCCAAGGTAGCAGAGAGTTCTCTTTGGAGACATTCAATTACATTTCTCAGATTGCTGGCTAGGAGGGCCGGTGATTGCCTGATGCAATGAACACACATTGACTGATTTATCTCCAGTTAGAGAGAACGGAGTTTGTTTCATAGACTTCTACCCATTCACTGAGATCCCCACCATGAGTCTCACCTAGAAATGTCCCCTTCCCTGTTTCTACTCCAAGCATCCTAAATTTTTATGGAGCAAATAGGGAAAGTCCAGATTGTGTCTCAGCTGAAGAATCACATAAACCAGTAGCGAAGATAGTGCATTTGAGACCTTAACTTTGAGGTAGACTGTCCTACCTTTCCAGGGCTACTCTTCATCCAAAGCCACCTGGTGTCAAGCCTCCCACACAGACAGTCCGGCCTTTGTAAATCTCCACCCTTCTTCATCCTCCAGGAGATCCCTTCAACTTAATTTTTGTAATTAGGAATCACACATACCATAGGTTGTAGGTGCCATGGGAGAGGTGGGCAGGGCTCCAGAGTTGTTATACATTGCAGCATCTGTTACAAAACAAGGGTGAGTCAGAGCTGGGGAGAAGACAGGCAGCTAGTGGTTTTGCTGAAGGTGGGTTGTGACCTACCACATCGTAGACTCAATTTAGTCAGTTGCCACCAGCCTTTCATGAAAACAAAATTATAAACATATTAAATAGAATCTCACCATTCATCTGTATCAGTGGTTCTCAAGCTTCCTAATGCTGTGACCCTTTAATACATATTCCTCACGTTGTGGTGACCTCCAACCATAAAATTATTTTTGTTGCTACTATATGAAGTAGGCCACTATATGAAGGCTACTATATGAAGTAGCAACGAAAATAATTTTATGGTTGGGGGTCACCACAACATGAGGAACTATATTAAAGGGTTGTGGCATTAGGAAGGTTGAGAACCACTGCATTTTCTTGCAAAATTTTTGTTTCAAATATTACATACTAGGTGCCACAGTACAAAACGTTTAAGAAATAAGGGTTCAAGGGGCTGCAACCATACATTACCAAAAAGCATAGGAACCAGACCCTGCTTGTGCAAAATATAGAGAGGGTACAGTAGATGAGGGAGCCTGGAACCGACATAATGCTAAGATGCTCTTTTCTTCAAAGAAATGGAATTGTTTTATAAAAGGGTTTTCCACTTTACCTCATCAGCCTATCCCCCTAATTTATAAATTAAGGTTTCATCTTCATAGATAGATTATTGACACTGGGGTATTCTCTGCTGTGATTTTACAGCTTCTGAGAATAAACCCCCAAACTGTATTTACTAGTGATATTGGTGACTCCTTTTCCCCTCTGATTTGTCTAATTAAGATCAAGAATTAGAATATGCATTTCCCTCCCAAGAGACATTCTGCCAAAAATCCTAATTTTCTGTCTTCTAAACATTTTTTATACAAATAAGGAGGTATCTAGCATCTACATAAAATTTCTGAATTGAGTCCTCAGGCTCCAGTGAAAACTAATATTGTCATAACATTGGATTTAGATCTCAAGAGACCCTGGGAGTCAAAAGCCATAGACCATAGCTATCATTAGCTATAATAAGATGGTAGACCAATTTCTCTGAGGATGGAGGAAGTCTGTTTGTCTTCCAGTTAAAACTTACAGTGTAAATGGAACTGCTTTTGAGCATCTCAGTTTCTGTTCTCAGGAGATACTTCTATACAATAATAAAATAAAACTTATATAAAAATAATTTATATACTTATATAAAATGATTTATTCTTATATTAAATCATTAACACAAAAGGCATTTAAGCACCAACCCCGATTTTCTAAAAATACACTCTATTTTCTTATCAGTGCATCTTAATGATCAGACCTTTTTTGTTTGTTTGTTTGAGATAGAGTCTCACTATGTCACTCTTGGTAGAGTGCAGTGGTGTCACAGCTCACAGCAACCTCAAACTCTTGGCTTTAAGTGATTCTCTTGCCTCAGCCTCCCAAGTAGTTGGGACTACAGGTGCCCACCAAACACTTGGCTATTTTTTAGTTGCAGTTGTTATGGTTCTAGCAGGTCTGGGCCGGGCTCGAACCCACCAGCTTCATTATATGTGACTGGCACCCTGCTCACTGAGCTATGGGCGCTGAGCCTTAGTGAGCAGACCATTTTGAAATTTTCTTCTTTTCAACATCAAATCAGGACTGGGCACAGGGGCTCACACCTACAATCCTTTCCACTGAAAAATCCAACAATGACAACTCAATAATAATGAGCATTCTTGTTGCCCAGTTTGTGTTGTCTAAATACCACTCCCCACTAAAGGAAATCACGATTTCTTGAAGAAATGATTAATTCCACATCTAGGGAAGTAAATACCCAGAATGAATTTGGAATACGTTGTTCTTTCAAAAAACAAGAAAGTTATCAAAGGCTTATAGAGTCAGATCCAAAGAACAAAGAGCCAGCTTAATGATGCAAACTCTGGTCAAAGACAGACAATTTGAGTATATAAGAGAAAAATAACTCCAATAGAACACTGAATTTATAAAAAAGCAATGAGTGCATAATGATACCCCAAAGAAACCCTACCAGTGGTGAAAAACAAAACTCATCAGACATCACTGATGAGGCATCAAGACATCAATTCATTACTCTGATAATTGAAAGTAAAAAATGAGTCATGTAAAAGGAAAAAACTGTTACGCAAACTTGACAATTAAAGGGGAAAAGTTAAGAGCCTTCCATTGGATCTTCCACTGTGAGCTGCATTTCAGAGTAAGCAAGTGCATAAAGAATAGTTCTTCTATTTAGAAAAAAATCCAGCCAAGAAATGCAAGAGAAATGAAAGAATTAGAAAACCACCATTTAGGACCCTTAACAAAGAAAAGAGTGGTCATCAATGGAAGGTAGAACCTGAGGTCAAAGCTCATGGGGAATGTGCAGCACTTCTCTAAAACTGGGAACCCAGCTTAGTGTCAAAGTGACAGGTTCCAACATGGCGCCCGGTGATGAGGGTCACCGTAAAGTATACAACACCATCTATGAAGAATTCTTGACAGAAACAAATATTGAACTTGAATCAATTTCACCTGTAGACATAACCTCCAGTCAGCAGGAATGACAGAGAAGAGACGCCTGAGTAAAACCACACCACAGAAAGTAGGCAGCTAAACCAGAATCAAATTTAAAAAACAAAGGAAGAAAACGTTGAGGAGACATAACAAAAAAATACACTGACAGGGCCTTATTTAGGTCCTGACTTGATCAAGCAAACTAGATAAGGTGTTACTAGACGATCAGGGGTAATTGAATATGGACAGGCTACTGGGTAATCTTAAAGAATTATTTGGTAATAAATGTTGTTAGATGTCATGATGGGATTGTGCTTACAAAAATAATGCTATTTTCTTAGGTACATTCTAAAAATTTTAGTAATGAAATCAAACAATATCTCAGATTTGCTTTAAAATACTACAGCAAAAAGGAAAGGAATAGACAAGAATGGCAAGATATCAATGGTTAGTAGGCTGAGTGACGTTTGGAGACCTAGTGTTCTCTTTACGGTTGTGTGTATCTGCACACCTTCATTTAAGTAACTTTAATAATGTTTAGATGTGCTTCCCCTTAACAGAACACCTATTAACTGCATTAATTTATATTAAGTTTTGAACACATTGTACTCTCATTTTAAAAAATTCGTTACTGTACAAGAGTCAAGTAAATACTCTGTTCACTTCCATTCTCATCCCTGTACAATTGGAACTAGTCACACAAAGGATTCCCTCTAAACACCCATGAGAAGCCACCTGCACAACCTTGCACCTCTCAGAGACCTGCCAATGGAAAGAAAGTTCTGGATGGGCTTTCCTCCTTCATCACACCACTCCCCCTTCCCCAAGGGACCCCGCGTTCCCCACCTGATTGGAAGGTGATCTCACTGAACATCATCCAGGTGTCAGCAAAGTGGTATTGGCACTTGATGGCACTGGCCATTCGGTGGTGAAGGGGCACCGTGACAAACCGAGCACTGGGGTTGACGTCATCCAGGACAAGGGGGAAGGACACGGCGTTAGGCTCCCATTCATTGGCATCAGAGCGGAAGTAGCACTGCACTTCCTTAAAGATCTTCACACCTTTCGCAAACATGTTGTTGCAGTGGACCTGGCAGAGAAAGAGGGATGTGAGTGACAGGTTGGCACTGCCAGTTGTGTTGGGACACAGTGCAAACCCATCCAGTAAGATTCCAGACTTGCCCCTAAGTACCACCCTTGGTAAACAGTCTAGGTTTTGCACTCTTCTGAGTTTTCTCTTCTGGGAACTTCACAGTGGCTTACAAAATTTGGACTGCACCTTTAGTCACCTCCATGCCCTGTCTGCTCCTGGACACCTCACTTCCTGTTGCTGGACAGTAGTTTTCTCACCTGTTAGATGAAGGCTGGACCAGCATCCTCTCAGGTCCTGCCTTGCACGAAACCCTCTTTAATCTATAATTCCCTGAATGACAGTGTTGTCTACCCAGATTCAAGCTATTCTGAACTGAGGTAAAAAGAAAACTGCCATCCCACTTCCTCCTAAGTACATCTCAAGGCCAGTCCATTTCTTTTCAACAGGGTTGGGTGGCTTGGCACCTGTGGCTCAAGTGGCTAAGGCACCAGCCACATACACCTAAGGTGGTGGGTTCGAATCCAGCCCAGACCCGCCAAACAAC